GACTGCTAAAAAGAAAATTAAAAAAAGCTCCTCTCCGGGGATCAAACTCGCTATGTGCAAACCCCGCCACGTGCACCGCAAAAAAGAAAATATAGAAAAAGAACATTAAAAAAATTGAAAAAAAAAGAAAATTAAAAAAAAAAGAAAATTGAAAAAAAATTGAAAAAAAAAATAAAAATAAAAAATAAAAAGTTCCTCTCCGGGGATCGAACTCTCACTGTCCAGACCCCGCCACGTGCACCGCCACGCGTCTAGCAACTCTACTCGTTGAGCTATCTCATTACGTCATTGTCTATCAGCCTAAACAACATGCTATATATAGCGATCCGAGAAAATTGGGCAGGTCCGAGCGAATTATGATTGAAACATGAAAGCCCGTCTTTAAAAAGAGTAAGTATCAAACGTATTGACATTCTTGAGTAAGAACAATGCAACAGGCAAACATAAAAGTGCAACAACGACATCTAGCAACAGGCGGCATTATTTTCGTCATTAACATAATTTATGCAATCATCTTTAGATTTGTAGTACGATCAATAAATTAGCGCCTAAAAACTTATGTAACCATACTTCGATCAATGGCATGTCACTAGATGAGACTGTTACTACATAAAGTTTCTTTTTGTAAAGAACATGGATTAAAATGGCAGCAAGTCTATTGCATATACCACAAACCGGAAAGAAGTAAACAGGTATTGCATGGCCTGCAGAGTTACCAAACTACCAAAGAAAGAAACAAACAAAGAAGGATAGATTCCGTCTTATTACATTTCAGCGCGCATGCGCTGAAATGTAAAAAAAAAAGTTTTCAACCATACTGTAAATCGTACAAAACAGTTGCAAAATGAGCAAAAATATACCATAAGTTACAAAAAATTTAATAAAACTATACCAATGTCGTAGAATGCCAAAATCAAACGAAAAAAGACGAAATTGTAAAGAAATTAACTTGAAGACTAGATTATTCGCCAAACCATATTCTGTGCCATTTGCTCAACCCTCATGACCACGTAGATTTCATAATGAAAAGAACTTTTTTTCTTAACTTTAATTTT